TCTCATGGCGGAATGGCAGCAACGACTGTCGCAACCGAGGGCTGGGCTCGCTGCCATCGCAGCGGTAAGTCCCCTCTTTGAGGAGTGGCTTGAGAGACGCTACGGCGTCCTCACCTACCGCCTGACGCAGGTCCTCACCGGACATGGAAGTTTCGGGAGGTACCTGTGTCTGATGGGGCGGGAGGAAACGCCCGGGTGTCATCACTGCGAGGACCGCCCTGAGGACACGGTGGAACACACGGTGGGAGAATGCCCTTCGTGGGCTGAGCACCGCCGTGTCCTCAGGGAAGTGATCGGCGATGGCGACCTCTCGCGTCCGGGCCTAGTGCAGGCCATGATGCGGAGCGAGGGGGATTGGGATGCCGTCTCCTCCTTTTGCGAAGCAGTCATGCTAGCTAAGGAGGAGGCGGGACGCGTGAGGCAGCGAAGCGCTGCCTCCTCGCAACCCAGCCATCGCGAAGGACACACCGGGCGTCGGGGATCGCGGGACGATCTCCGGCCACCGTAAGCGCGGGCCTGCGGACGGCGAGCATGGGTGGCTCCCCGTCCGACCAGAAACAGACCCGAGCGTACGGCGCGTCGCGTTCCGCGCGCGCCTCAAAGAGCCATCAGACCACCACAGATGGGGCCCAATAGGGCCGATGCCGATTCGGAGTCGCGGAGAACCTAACGGGTAACCGGGGCTCCGGCTCGACGTGCAGGAGAAGGAACGGGGTGGTTTTTAGTCAGTAAGAGTCTGACACTCCCTCCCGCCTCACCCAGGCGGGAGCAGTCATTCGATGATTTTCCCCCCTTAAAAAAATAAAAAATAAAAAATACTCTGTATATATACCTAGTATACTCTGTATAGGGTCAAATATTCGACTAAAATAATAATTAAAAAATACAGTAGGTACACTATATACGTAGGTTTCCACGCATTCCACGAAACGAAACGAGGCCGAATAGTTAGTACAAAACACAAAACATCCAATTATTACTTTTAAATAACTCATACGAAAATTCTACAAATAATACCTAAATGAGTGTACACAACTACATACATATAAATATCGATAAAGCCGCCATTCAAAACAGACTTTAACGTGAATAACAATCACCATTCAAGTTTAGTTAAAATTACTAACAATATGGACGACCTATGACCTTTACTTCGATATCGGCTAAACTCAACGAATTCGGACCCTGTTAGAACTCTGAAATAGTTTGCAATCGTCACATGACGTAACTTCATTCAGATCAAACAATGCCGACCGTACATTAACTTGTAACATGTTATTATTAAGGAAATTATTTCCGATGTACATACATTTGTGTCTTCTTTAATTTGTGCATGATGGTATGAATTTTAGGATAATTTTGACGAGTAATGCAAAGGTTTTTTTGGAGTTTCGGAGAGCCATGATTCGGCACGAATCGGCTCGTCCGGAGTGACACCACGGTCTCACAGAACAGGGTGCTTACTCTTAAAACCAATCTCAATGTCAATGCAATTTCAATCCAATAATTATTCAATGTCAACTCTATACAACCACAATCGTAGATGTTGAAATAGCATTCAGAGTAAAGGAATATAAAGCCAAACTCAATACCATTTAGTTCATTCAATATCCACGCAATACGGATGCAATG